AAATCCAGCTTGTACTTCTGGGAGTTCTCAGTCCGCATACTGTTGAAGCCTACTTGGAAGGATTTTGAGCATAACCTTGCTAGCGTGTGAAATGAGTGCAATTGTACGGTAGTTGGAGTGTTCTTTGGCACTGCTCTTCTTTGGGATTGGGATGCAGACTGATCTTTTCCAATCCTCTGGCCACTGCTGAGTTTTCCAGACTTGCTGGCATATTGACTGTAGCACCTTAACAGCATCATCTTTTAAGATTTTAAATAGTTCCACTGGAATGCCATCACCTCCAGTGGCCTTGTTGTTAGCCAAGCTTTCTAAGGTCCACTTGACTTCACTCTCCAGGATGTCTGGCTCAGGGTCAGTAACCACACTATCTGGATTGTCCGGGATATTCTAACCTTTCTGATTTAATTCCTCTGTGTATTCTTGCCACCTCTTCTTGATGTCTTCTGCTTCTGTGAGGTCCCTCCCATTTTTGTCCTTTATTCATGTCCATCTTTGCACAAAATGTTCCTTTAATATATCCAATTTTCTTGAATAGATCTCTGGTTTTTCCCTTTCGATTATTTTCCTCTATTTCTTTGCACTGTTCATTTAAAAAGGCCCTCTTGTCTCTCCTTGCTATTCTTTGGAGTCCTAATAGTTTGATGTATACATGAGGATGTAAAACCTTATGCTACTACTTGGGGCCAGTTAGAAATAGCCAGCCTTCAAAGAAGGGTCCAACAGGGAATCATTCCAAGACTGTCATGAGATCTGCCAAAAAACAGTCACTAAAGTATATTAATAGAATTATTTGTTGCCTTTATGTTAACAGAAAGGATCTACTGGGGCTTGCTCATAAAGGTGTGTCAGTTTTAAAATTCCTTTTATGATTTAACTTTGGCTTGGGATGGCTTAAAATTAGACTCCATATTTCCTGTTCAGTTAAACTAAACCAAAATTCTTTGGTGAAGGCATTCAAGGCATGATCCCATGAAAAATGACAAGCAGACACCTGCCAAGTACTTAACTGCTGCTGAAATACTATGTCCCTTCTTTTGGCAAATTGAGAACAGGCCAAATCCAAAGTTGTGTAGTAAAAGAGATATTATGGACTTCTGATGTGATTATTTTAAATATAAAGTACAATATTTCTCCTAAATAAACCTTTTGCTCTATCCTACCATTTTTCAGATTAGGACATTATATTGCTGGGACCAAATAAGAGCTAGTGCTAAGTAATAAAAATAAAAACTGGGTTTTGTTGTTGTCTGAAAAAGTCCTAAGAGACCACGTATAAAATGCCATTTGATCTGAGTCTCCCTACATTAAGAACAAAAGAGTGCTGTTGGCCCAGACCAACAATCCATCTAGTCTAATGCAATGTCCTGTCTCCCACAGTAGAAACTCATAGAATGTCTTAA